CGCTGCGTCTCCCTCCGCACCAATGGACTCAGACCAGCGTATCAAGGAAATGGAAGAGCACATTCGCCGCAGTGAAAAGGAGCTGGAGCGCGTCGGCCGTGAGAACGAGAAGCTACGGGACGTCCTGGGCCGCTACCGAGAACGATGGGAGAAATTGAAGGAAGGGGCGAAGACCAGACGGGCGGAGGGTAGAGCTGCTGCGGGTTCTTCGTCTGCGGCGGATACGGTTAAGAGAAGTGACAAGCCCGGTGCTACTCCCAATCCGGACCCCAGTACCCAGGAGCAGGCTGAGACCGCCAAGACAAGATCGGATGGCGACACGGAGAATGAAAGTACAGGGCCAGAGGGGAAAGCGGATTCCTCTGATAGCTAGCCGCCTCATCGGTAGCTAGCCGTGCAGGTGGCCACTGATTGCAGGTTGTGTTTCGACATAGGTACTCTCGGCGACCATCCTCCCCAGAGAGAATCTTGAGAATGTGTCCTCGTGTTACAGCCCAAACTTAATTCATTGGACCAGGCTGCCACGCACTTTCGCTGGATAGTCGCAGGATGAGAAAGAATCAAGACCACGACAAATTGTGTTATGTTAACATATCTCTATGCCAAAGCACAGAATCCATGGATCAGTTCGTAGATATTACAACATACCAGGCATACGCCAATCTACCGATGTCAGGACATGTTGACGAGTAATTCATATATAAACTTTGTAAACCTGCCCAAAACCCACAACCCTGGCCACCCTGACAAAAAAGCTACAACAGCATCCACTCTACTGCACGTAGAAGGTAGCATTGCCCCTGATATCCGCAGAGCTGCTCCCCACCAAAGCAGTGAACGCGCCCGGCTCAACGACATACTTCATAGCCGAGTTCCACAGCCCCAGATCCTGCACCTTGAGCTGGACCTTGACGGTCTTGGTCTTCTTCGCGGGAATAACCACCTTCTCGAACCCCTTGAGCTGGCGGTTCGGCACTACAACCGACGCAATCTCATCCTGGACGTACACCTGCACGACCTCCGTCCCGTCCATGCTCTTGTGGGTGTTTGTCACGTCGACGCTGACGGTGATGGTGTCCGAGGCGGTGGCGTTGGTCTTGTCGACGGTGACGGGCCCGTACTCGAAGGTCGAGTAGCTCTTGCCGTAGCCGAAGGGGTACCAGGGGAGCGGGCTGCCGAAGACGTACTGGTGGCCGAAGACGAGGTCGCCGTTGGGCAGTTCGTAGCCGGAGTCGCCGATGGAGCGGGCCGAGTTGAGGTAGTCGTAGTAGATGGGGAGGTCGCCGACGGAGGAAGGGAAGCTGACGGAGAGCTTGCCGGAGGGGTTGTAGTCGCCGAAGAGGACGTCGGCGAGGGCGTTGCCGCCTTGCTCGGAGGGGTAGAACTGCTGGACCAGGGCCGCGGTCGAGTTGGAGAGCCAGGGCTCCGTCACGGGCTTGCCGCTGCTGAGGACGACGACTGTGGGGACGCCGGTGTCGACAATGGCCTTGATCAGGGGGGCTTGGGCGCCGACGAGCGAGAGGTCGTTTACATCGACGTGTTCGCCGGTCCTGCGTAGAGAATTTTAGTTCGCACTGCGGGCGTTTCTTTGTACTAGGGGTGGCTCACGTTGCGTTGAGCCCTTGCCACAGCTCCATCTGATCTCTCGACCAGGTGCCAACGATGACAATGGCCACGTCGGATTTCTTCGCTGCCTCCACAGCCTCGGCGAAGCCCGACTGGTCGTTGCTCCATCGCTCGCATCCCTTGGCGTAGTGGATGTTTGCCTTCTTACCAACGGCGGCCTTGATACCGTCCAGGGGAGTGACACCCCGGTACTGGCTCTTGTAGACCACGTAGTCTCCGTACTAATCGGTATGAGCAACGATATCAATGTTATGAGCTTTGCAAAGCCTGCACTTACGTTCATGAATCCATGGGCCATGGGTCCAATAACGGCAATGTCACCCTTCTTCCTCAGAGGAAGGGTGCTGTTGTGGTTCTCCAGTAACACAATGGACTCCTTGTCCAACTGTCTAGCAAGCTTGACAGCTTCCCGGCTGTGGATGAGCTTGTTCCATTGCGACTTGGGAGCGGCGGGGTAGGGGTTTTCAAAGAGGCCCATCTCGAACTTCGCTCTCAGCACCCTCGAGACGGCGGTGTCGACAGTCTTGATGTCAAGCTTGCCGGCCTCGACCAGTTCAGGGATCTTTTGGAAATTGCTTTGCATATTGTCAGCAAGCGAGCAATCAAATATGGGAGCGTTAAGCACTTACAAAGAACCACCGCCCATCTCGACGTCGTTGCCGGCGGGAAGAGCCTGGAGAGTAACGGATTCCATGTCAATAGGGTTGCTTCTGCAGAGCTTGAACGCCGAGCACAATCTATCTGTGCCGCCGGCATCACTCATGACAAAGTAATCGTAGCCCCATTCGCCTCTCAGGATCTCGGTCAGAGTATGATAATCAGAAACAGCAGGGACGCCGTCATATCTAAGGAAAGGTCGTCAGCAGCTTCTTCCGGTCACTATCAAGACACACTTACGAATGATAAGCACTCATGATACTCCATGCACCAGCATCAATGATCGCTCGCTTGAACGACGGGAACCAACTTTCTAGGTCAGTGTTTCATTCACGCCCTGTTTCTCGGTCGCTTACGTTGTGCGCAAGTATCTCTCGCCTCCTTGAACTGGAGCAGTGTTGATACCCTGTTCAGGCTGGCTGAATCCTATGAAGTGCTTGACCATCGAGGAAACATTGAGACTCTGGAGACCCTTGACGTAGCTATACCCCATCTCTCCTGCAAGGTATGGATCTTCGGAGAATGTTTCTTCAACCTAGGAGCAGGTAGGTTAGTTTCCCGCATGATACGCAGATTGATCGCATGTCATACCCGACCATACCGCAGCTCGCGAGCCAGGTCCACGACAGGAGCAAAGAGCTGGGTGACACCGAGTGTACGAGCTTCCTGGCCCACGTATTTGGCCATCTCTTGGACCAGCTACGACAGTTAGCTTTGCCTCAAGGAACAAGATGCAGTATACGTACCTCTCGGTTGAAGGAGCAGCCATATGCAATAGGTGAATTGAAGATTGTGGCGTTGCCAATCAAGAAACCATGAATACCTATAGATGATCGACTCCCATCAGCACTCAACCAGAGTGAATCCTATAATCATCCCATACCCTCAGTCTGGACAAGCGCCGGAATGCCAAGCGTCGTGTTCTGCATGAGATAATCTTGGGCTCTCTTGACGTTGGTAGCAATCCAATCCCAAGAAACGGGATAGCCAACTGGAAAACATTGTCAATGCTATCATTCACTTAAGCAGGACCAGGCTTTCGATACCATAGAACGATCCCGCTTTCATCTTCATATTCTCGACCAGACCAGTGTAGTTGAACTCTCCACTGGTAGAATTCATCCAGTTGGTGATATCACCTACAACCAACTCAATCAGTCACCTTCTGTCAATAAATAGGACCAACGAAAACCAAGAAGAGCGAATTCTCAACGAACCCTGCATCAATTGGGCCATCTTATCCTCAATCGTCATTCTGCCCAGAAGATCGCTCACTCGGTCTTCCACAGACGCACTGGCGTCTTTGTACAGCGGCGTCGAAGCAGCTTGTCCCGTAGACAAAGCCGACACAAGCTGCAAGAGCAGCAAGCCCTTGGAAAGAAAATTCCCAGCCATCCTGGTTCGAAGACGGACAGAGTCAAATCGTCCCTGTAGAAGCTAACAATCGTGGTCGCTCCTCAGCGAGCCAAGCAGGGGGCCAGAGACACAACCAGAGAAGGAAAAGAACAATTGTCCACGAGGGACACACGCCGACTTATCTATTTACCACGCTGCGGCAGTCTGCGCTCTGCAGTCTCCGCAGTGCACACCAGTGTCCAGTAATTACTCTCGCGTCTCGGCGTGTGGCTGGACCACGCTCGGAGAAAAAGAACCAAACTCTGATCATCGTAATAAATTGCCCTCATAGCTGCCATCTCAATCCAATCAAGCCATTGACAGAAAAGAGGCAAGCGGCCAAGCTATCGTGCTTTAGGTTGGAGGTGAGGTCCAGTGCGGAGATGAGCCCGGCTCGAAAATATCGTTAGGGGAGGTGAGAAAGTCATATATTGGCGAATGAGTACATCAGCTTGATACGGAGCAATGATCCACACTCCACGGAACTGGCTTAAAGAGCAATGGCATCTCGCAAATACTCGAAGACATTATTGGATGCGAGGCAGAACTGGGGATGGAATTGGGCCGATATCCCCGGAATTGCAGTGATGACATGATGCGGAGTAGCATTCGGACGGCTAAATTCAAGGTCCTAATGAGAAGTTTAGCAGGATTAATGCCTAGTGGCTGGGTTCAAGAGGTATCCGACTTGACTGTGCTTAGCCGGATTCAATCAAAGCGAGCGTCGAGACTGGAGAGGAATAAATGATCCATGCTGGGATCTAAAGAATTAGGGTGCTGCAAGATGTGTATTTTCCACCTATGGAATCCTTGGGATGCAAGTCAACGCAGAAACCACATGAGAATCCTGCGCACTTTAGCTGATCATTTCCCAGAATTGTTGACAGTGGGCCGCCGTGGTCAAGGATCGCATTACCTCGCAAAGAAATTTGGGACTGGGAGCATGGGAGACAGGGGGAGGGGAAATGCAAGTGTCACTGCTCTGGCTCGAAGAGATGTCCCTGAATTGCTGAAACGGGATCAACAGATGCACAATATCTCTGATATGCATTGGATTCAATTATCACCAATTCTCTGATTGTGATTTCAGGACTCGCATTGCAATAGCTCAATGGTTATGTATATAATAGAGCCAAACACGGCAATGCCATGTCCAAATGTGAAGCTAAAGATAGAACCCCATATATCTAATGGAACAATGTAAACGAACATATGGACCCAGAATCAAACGGCCAACCACCCATTATTACAACAATAACAAAATATGTACCGACGACTGGAATGAGCCTGCCGCCGCAGAGAAGAAAGTGCTCCGTCCAGGTCTACGCCTGCGTATCTGCGCCTCTTTCACGACCGCCTTCGCCATCATGCGTCTCAGCGCCATTGTCATTCTCGTCTGTTTCAACTGCTGTAGCATTGCCCAACGCCTTGTTGCTGCTGTTAGGCTTTCGTAGAGCTCCACCGAGCCAGGCCAGCCCTCCACTCCATGAATCACTCAAGCTGCGCAGTCGAGTCAGCGTGGTGATATCGTGTCCAGTCTGACTGCTGGACTGATCTCCTGAGTCTACAACCGGAGTGGAGTTACCAACGGTCACTGGAGCCGTCGGGAGATCTCCGGTAGAATGGAGTCGAGCAGTTGCAAGTTGGAATGGAAGATGATGGTCATTCTCGGCACCCGCATCCACCTCATCTGAACGGTCTCTCGGGTCACTGTCCCTGTTGCGCAGGTAACCGTCGAGGACTGTTGTACTTAGCCGCTTTCTCCGAGCGGACCGCCTATGGGTCTTTCGGTCTTTCATGGGACTCGTCTCTCCACGCCGAAGTGATTCGGCCACGACCGCACTGAACCCCGCCGAAAGGGTCGGGAGAAGTGGGCCTGGAGAGAAATGCTTGGATATAGAGTTACGTAAGTTCCTTGCAGGAGGAGTCTGGGGGACGCTATTTGCTCCGCCAGCTGGTTCGACATGGTCGGGCTTGGATGGAGACGAGGGTTGGTGACCGTGATCTTCAATGCCAGGCGCAGGAGGAAATTGCAAGAGGACTGTTGAACCAGGATTGGCATTTTTGGACCGTTCCGGAGGAGTGGCTGGTCGGTGAATCTGAGGTTCGGATTTGGAAGCCTGAACGTGTTGTTCCAAATGGTCCGCCCATGGGTTCGTCAACAGTGAGTGCGAGTGCAAAGGAGATGGATGTTCGGGAGATGGCTGGGTAAGAGATTCGGCAGTCAGGGAGCCGACAGGAGATGAAGGAGCAGCGGACAGAGCACCCTTGGGAGTGAGTTGGTCCTCATCGACGTCCTCAATCCCATGGCTTAGCAAAGATCCCGTTGGGGACTGTACATTGTTCTCTCCAGACACCGGTTTCCTTTGCCCGGGATTGTGTATCCTCGCTTGATGCGCAGGAGGGGGCATGTCAACCCTGTCTCGATACCGCTCTCCTCCCAAAAGCCCAATCGCTTCTTCCTCGTCATCAATGGAGAAAGAAGACTCGTCATCGGCACGGACTCTGCCACTTGTGATAAAGTACACGCCTAGGAATGTCATGAGGCAGCCACAGACAAACTTTGACGCGCGCTCGGCGGTGTAGGACTCAAAGTCGCGGTATAACACAGCACTTCCGATGATGACCGACAATGTGAAGAGCACGAATTGCGTTGGGATGACTTGGGTGGAATCAAAACGTTGCAAAGCCCGGTTGATGTACCGAATCTGCATCAGAGCGCTGAAAACAAGGACAAACACCAATAGATAAGTGATCGGAAAGGTAATAACATGCCAAAGCGTAAATGACAGTAGTGACGAGACACCCTTTGTCGACAAAGCAGTATATCCACCTTGATATCTGAATGAGCACTTGGTTCACATGGTCAAACGACAAATTAATAATGACCGAGACTTACCAAACAGCGCGACTAGCCCGACATCGATAAGGATAGTTCGCGAGCCATACATGTGGCTCACCCACATGAGAGCGGCGATCAAGGCGGCCGTCAGACCCAAGTACAGCTCGAATTCCCAGCGCGTGATCATGATCCATATATCATGCGGACCGATTTTCTCTTCTGACGAACTGGCACTGAGCACGACCACAACAGCGCCAGCGATTGCAATGAGGACCCCCCAGACGTCGCGTTGGCGAAACTTCTCCTTGAGCATTATTGGAGCAATAACGCAGTTCGAGATCAACGCGACGACGCCTAGCGGGGACACAATCGATGCAGGAGCAAACCCGTATGCCATGAAGTTACCAGCCTCGCCGAGGCACATGAGCACGATGCCCGCCCACCAGTACGGCGAACGGAGGTATGACTTGCGCCGGCCATGGCGCGAATCCTTATCCCCAGGACGAATAGTCTGGTCTGATAAAAAGGACTCGCGTAGGCGACCGCGCGAGCTCGATTCTCCATCCGAGAACTCGTCGCTCTGTCTCAGAAAGTCCTCGGGTAATTCTGGCCCGGTATCCGGAGACTCGTCTCGATAACGAGGGAACGGGCGCCTCTCTCGTCTAGCTTCCCTGTCGTCCTCCTCATCATCCGCGGTAGCTCCGTAGGCACCTGCTGCGTTTCGGCCCGAGTTCGCCCGTTTCCATTCTAGTTCCCTTTGGAGCTTGCTCTGCTCCCACTCCCTCTCAATCCGGATGTGAGCGTAACGCTGGATATTGAGCGCCAGAGATATGAGCACGTTTCCCACCAATGCAGTCACAATACCAATAAGCGATGACCATTCATGTATATGCCCTCCGTTGTGGCCGCCAGTATTCGAGTCAGAACCCGATGTCGATGCAGGGAAATGGTGAAACGATGAAGAGGCGGATGCGGTAGCGGTCGGAGTAGGGGCGAAAGAAGTGACAAGAACCGTAAGCAGGCCTGCTGCTAAGGGTTCTTCTTGAAAGGAAGCCATTCAAATGTAAAAAAGAGACGACCAGGCAGGGTGGAAAGAAAGGGGTTGAGAAGCCCCAAGAGCTCCGCTGCCACCCGTAGAGCCGAATCGATCGTTATCAGCCGGGTCAAGATGTTCAATATGATGCGAAACACGGAGGCTTGAAAACTGAGGATGAGAACTCGATGCGTGTCCTCAAGACGCTGAAAGAAACTGATCTGATGGAATGGTGCTCGAGTTCAACCGGAAACAATCGCTCATACTGGTAAAAAGTGACGCATTCTGGTTCCTTGACGTTACTAAACTTCAAATCTCTTTATATCCACTTCTCAAAACAAAACAAGACCTCTGGCAACAATAAATAAGGAACAATGTCAGCCAGCAACGGACAGAAAATGGTGGTCTTGCTGTCGGTCAAGAGCAACGTAGACGAACAGGATGGTCGGAAGGTTGACTAAACTCGGATTTAGAATTGCGAGAATACGAACGATCGCTCAGACGATCTAATCAACAAGGCAGCGGGTAAGAACAGACTCAAGTGCAGCATCGTGAGTAGTGACAAAGCTAGCAGACAGGTCGGTGCGAGCTGATAGCCTCTTTGAGTAAGGTAGAGAGAGAAAGCGACTATCGAAGAGCCATGTTCTGCTTGGATGGTCATTGGTCTGGCCTCCACAACAGCCATCACTACACCCCGCCTGTCCAACGTCATCAAGCATCGAATTTCCCATCCGGCTGACAACTCCCTCTGCTACTTAAATGCATAGAAATCCTGATAGATGCATATGGATGGGGTATCTCTGATTATTGATGCTAGACCATCGATGATAGTTTTAAATCTGATTACACTAACAGGCAAATCATATTCCCCGCAACGCCATCCTCCTTGCATATATACATTAGCGTTCGAAAAGAGACCGATCCAAGCTCCAAGGAGAACTGAAAATGCCAGAAAGCCAGGATCGTAGAAAGATTCTTTTGGCCGATCATTTCACCGCTTGGCCCTCTTCTTATCGGGCTCTTGCTCTTCCTCGTCATCGCTAAGCTCTCTGAATATCGGTACTGGCTGTGTTTCTTTCCATGCCTTGGTGAAAATCGGGTCCTTCTCGGCTTTCTCGGCGTACTTCAGCAGCGCCTCGCGAGGGTCCTCGTCTCGCATGGAACTAAGAGGAATATTTTCGCGGATATGCCGTTCATCCGGCTGCGATTTTGCAAAGGGAGTAGTTGCCGGCAGGTGTGGTCGTCGTGGGTCCCTGGAACGACCCGAAGCCGTGAGCCCGATGGTCGGATGGCGGGCAGACCAGGTAGCCGAACTGTAGTGAGGGACTCCGTTCGATCCGACCACAACGGAGTCGCCCGAGATACCAGCTGACAGGTCCATGGTAAGAGACGGGTCATCATCGATATGGCGACGTTTAGGCGCCTTGGACATGACCAAGGCAGCTCCCTTGGTCGACATAGTGGGGTTGTAGAGAACATGTGTCTCAGCGTTGGCGGAACCAGTAATGATCTGATTGAGCTTTTTATGCCAGAGAACAGTGATGAGGGGTGACCCAGGTGTGACCGGCGTGACAAGCTCGGGTTTCAAGGTAGCTGGGTTCAGGATGTGTAGATGACCAGTCTCTGAGCCTGTAATGACATTGGCCGACGTGGGGGAGAAGACAATGTTGGAAGACGGATAACGAGCCGAACTCGATGGATGCGAGACGGTGGTGATCGGCTGTTTGAATTTTCGAGTGTCCCAGAGCTTGATGGTATCGTCTCCTCCCTTGGTGATGACTAGTCTTCCGTCGGAGCTGATGTCCAGTCCACTCGTCCATGTATCCCGAGTATGCGCGTCTCTTATCTCCCCACTAGGCCGAGTGAACGGTCCATTCCCACTCCACATCAGCAAGCTTCCATCGAGGGCAGCAGCGACGAGGATATTCGGACCGCCCTGTTTTGGGGAGCCCCATGCTACAGCAGTCATCTTGCTCCGACCAGCGGATCCAGCCACCCTAGACTTGTGTACAATGACTTCCTTTTGCGATCGTCCGACGTTTGCATCCCAGATGCGAACTGTGCTGTCCGTTCCTGCGGTGGCACACAAGTTGTAATCCGTCGGGGACCAAGCGCCACTAGTCACTTCCGCTACATGGCCTTTGGTATTATGAAGATCTCTCAGGTACATGTCCCCCTTCACAAATTCGGTCAGGGTATCGCCGTCGCGGTCCAAAATTCGAGGCTGCGGCGTCGCCGAAACAACCATGACATGGCTTGGGGATAGAGGATTGAATGCGACATAGTGCACAGGGTGTGTTTCTTGGGCGGCGGACTGCTTCTTAGCAGACGGGTCAACGGATTTGAATGCGCGCACAGTGGATGGTGTCATAGAGGCAAAGTCATGGAGCTTGAGTGTGCAGTCAGTCGAGCCGGTAATTAATCGCGCTCCTGACGGATCCACCGTCATGGTCGTCACTGCGCGCTCATGCGTCTTGATAACGAGCTCGTGAGAGACTGGGAATTCGTCCTCATCGTCCGAGTCCGAGTCATCATCGTCGTCGGAGTCATCTTCTGAATCGGCTTTTCGATCGTGGCCTTTCGTATCGTCTTCGGCTTCAGCTTCTTCGACTGCAGGCTTGATGTCAGTATCCTGCTTTTTATCGCCATCTGCTTTGGCCGAAAGTTCCGACCGCTTGGTGCGGTTGATCTGGGCATTCACATCAAGCTGCTTTTCTTGCTTGCCGAAGCTACTTGGAAAGAATTTCTTGAATGCTTCTTCGTCGAATCCGTCCATTGTGACCGACAAATATTGCAAAGTGCTTGTTCGAAGCTAATCAGAAATCACTTGATGACAATAATGTTGCTTCCGTTTGCCACGTTTACAATGTTTGTGGTGTTTGCACCTATAGCGCATACTATGACATCGGCTTATCAGTCTCCACAGCTACCAAGGGGCAAAGGCAACCACCCTAGGAATTGGTAGCTCGTTTCATTAGTAGAATACATCATTGAAAGGCTCTTGAAGCAAAGCCATCTTGCTTAATTTATGTAGACACTAGGCACCTATTAACCATATCCGCACCTACAAGTACAGGCCCTCTACAGGACCGCCATCCTGCTTAGTCTTCATGATCCGTTCCCTAGCGGCACGGAAATCATCCATTTGCACCCTCATACGGCGCTCTCTCAGCGCCATCAGACCGGCCTCTGTGCAAATGGCTCTGATATCGGCACCAGAGAGATCGTCTTTCTGGTTGATAAATTCGTCGAGGTCAACGTCATCTCCGAGGGACATCTTGGACGTGTGCAGGGTGAAGATCTTCTTCTTGGTATTTTCTGGAGATTGTCAGTCAGCGAACCACAGAGGTCCTTAGCATGAGTACTCACGGTCTGGGTTCTCAAAGAGAATCTTTCGGTCAATACGACCAGGACGGATCAAGGCAGGATCCAGAGTTTCAATCTTGTTTGTGGCCATAAGAACCTTTACGTCGCCACGGTCGTCGAAACCGTCCAGTTGGTTGAGAAGCTCCAACATAGTACGCTGGATTTCTCGTTCACCACCAGATGTGGAGTCGTAACGCTTGGTACCGATGGCGTCGATTTCATCGATGAAGACAATCGAGGGCGCATGCTCGGCAGCAACCTGGAAAATCTGTCGCACCAACCGAGGACCATCTCCCAGGTACTTCTGGATCAGTTCACTGCCGACAATTCGAAGGAAAGTGGCGCTGGTCTGGTTTGCAACAGCCTTGGCAAGCAAGGTTTTACCGGTACCAGGAGCACCGTAGAGAATGACGCCCTTTGGCGGCTTGATACCCATCTCTTCATACAATTCCGGGTGGAGCAACGGCAACTCGACCGACTCTCGGACTTCTTGAATCTGCGACTCGAGACCACCAATATCCGCATACGACTCGGTTGGTGCCTTGTCGAGTTTCATGACTGAGACCAGGGGATCGGACTCTTCCGTCAGCACACCAACGACCGATACAGACTTGTGATGCAGAAGGATGCTGGCACCGGGCTCCAGCAGATCCTTGTCGACGAAAGACATGATAGAAACGTAGTACTCGGGGCCGGTAGCGCTCGAGACAATCGCATGGTCATCGTCAATCAGCTCTTCCAGATTGCCGACTCCCATGGGGCTGCCTCTCATGTCATCAACACGGCTCCTTTCGTCTGCATTTCTGTCCATGATATCCAAGTCGCCTCGGCTCACCGAGTCCTGCGTTACCTGGGCTTTGGCCTTGCGCAGACGCTCCATGTTCTCCACATATTCCTCTTCGAGCAACAGGTGGTCATGGACTCGTTGCATTCGAAGATATCGTAGTTTACATCGTGACGTAGGGTAAATGTCGGGAAGTTTCGAGGCAGTGCTAGGGCCTGCAGCCTTGCGCTTCTTCCGTCCAATCCTGGTTGTAGGTGGTGGTGGTGGTTCGTACTTAGGCTTGTCCTTCTGAAGACGTAGACTTTGTCAGTCACTGGACTTGTGGGATCAGAAGACGTACCAAAGACATCGACTTACCTTCTTATCCTTGTCGTCTCTTCCATCCCCACCGGGACCTCCACCAATGTTTGACTGCTGGTTACCCTGTTTTCAAGACATGTTAGTCTCGCTCGAACGGGACAAAGGCAACGAAGGCACTGATGACGAAAGCGCTCTGATACACATACCATGTTCCCAGAGTCTGTGCAGAAAAAAGATAGAGAGCGGTATCAGAGTATTTCACTGATGGCAATAACCTTGATACCGGCAGGAGTCGTTGATGGGTGGTTGATGTTGAAGAGTGGATGGAGGCGTGAAGGTAGTGAGTGTGTGAAGCTTCCGCTGGCCAGGATGGAGAGCTCTCAGGTAAGCTGTTGTCGCCATCTGGTCGGGCTTGGCGGCCGGCATCCTTTGCACGTGACATGCCGCCTTACTTTTTGCCTGAGGTATCTACCTAGTCCCATACATACCTACCAATTTGGGTAAGAAGCATCCGTGGTTAACTGCCTTGCAGCCTGACGCCTTTTATTGGCGAATGATAGTGGAATTCGAGCGTCACCAGGGCAGTAAATAATATAATGACTTGATAACTAGGCACTATCTAGAACACTCTGTAGTCAGGTAGCTCAAGGTAGGTAGCTTTCTGCCTTACACACAGCACAATATAAGCCCTTTTGCATTATTGAATCTTCTTCTTGAGAGCTTCAGCTTCGAGCTTTCCTGCTGCGTACAGCGTTCACATATCTGGCCCCCGTTGAGCTATTTCTGTGAGTATCCACTACTCCTCATCTGCCTCATCGTCCCCTCATCCGTCTTTCTCGAGTCCCTCCTCTAGAGAAAGTGAGGCTCATTATGATCTACCAGTACCAACAAGCATGTTTACTTTTTCTTGCTCGTCTCGTCCCACCTTCTACCTGCTTGCCTTCACACTTCGTATTGACACAGAAAATAACTGATCGGTCTTGCTGATTAGTTTCAAATCGTTTACATAGTTGGTGACTCCGGATACCATCCGTCGGATCAAAATTTGGTTCACTTAAGCACATCATCTACTTCCTAAGTGTGGTTCATCGCTTACGTGTCTGTGACTCGGCCGATCATTCCACTTACTCATGGCTTCGAACCGAACGCGGCGTATCGCAAAGGAGATTGCGGATATTCGGGCGGATACTCATTCGCAAATCACTGCCGAACCGGTGGAAGGAGATGACGATATAACACACCTGCGTGGCTCGTTTCCGGGGCCTCCAGGCACACCGTACGAAGGTGGTACTTTTGAAGTTGATATCAAGATACCTAACGACTACCCATTTCGGCCGCCAATCATGAAGTTCGTGACCAAGGTCTGGCATCCCAATGTCAGCAGCCAAACGGTACGTATCGTCAGCACCGATCCGTCTGTCTCGTCAGAAAACGATCCTCATGTTCTTCTAGGGCGCTATCTGTCTCGATACGCTGTCATCGGCATGGTCGCCGGTGCTAACCATCAAATCCGCACTCTTATCCCTGCAATCCTTACTCAGCACTCCCGAGCCCAAAGATCCGCAGGATGCCGAGGTAGCTACCATGCTACTGCGAAGACCGAAAGAGTTCGAGCGAGTCGCCCGGGAATGGGCCGTCATCCACGCAGGGGCTCCTCGAAAACACGCTGGGGAGGGTAGTGGAGGAGCAACAGACGAAACTCTCCGCCAGGATGAACTCAGGTCCAAGGCGGAGCAAGAAAGGGAAGATCTTTCCAAGTACGTAACCTCGCAGGTGCCATATTTCGTTACCTCTATAGAATAGTATCTCATACACGTCAATAGGTACGACGGATACAACAAAGACCTGATCGATCGATTCTGCAGCATGGGCTTCGATGTGGATCGAGTGGTGGCGGCGTTCAAATTTTACGGGATTGATCGAATGAATGGAGAGGACTATGAATTGGATGAAGCTTATATGGGTGATATTACCGCACGGCTCCTGGGTGAGCCGTAAGTGATGGCGGGATGACTCTTCGGTCTATTTTTGGGCAACAAGAGCGGATGAATCTGATTGATTGCATGGTGCCTGGCGAATCCTCTGGTTTCATGAGATTCCAAGCTATTCTTATGGAGATTGTTTATCGTCGAGAACAATGAATGCCGTATGTCATGTCTTCATGACCTAATCATTGCTTGTTTCTGGCTCTTCTGGCCGTTCTACTTTATGATTTCTTTCTATCTCCTGTCTCTTACCATAAGCTTGATATTGAGCCGAAATACATTCATCGTCGTAGAATGTCGCCGCTGGGGCTTGGTATTTTTGGCTAGGATGGATCAGCAAGCAAGACCGTATCGATAAGCGGGTGGGTCTCCATTCTTTCTTGAACTCCGCCTAGCTTGATCGTCTCCGATTCTTCCTCTTTCAAGACAACTTGCTTTCTTGTTGATGGACTGATGAAGATCTATTAATCTTGGTATGAAGGATATACCACCTTATTATCGCGACTATACCTTTCTTTCTTTTTCTTTGCTTCCGCCATCGCCCACGTCCGCGGGACTCAACAATTCAGCTCCATCGAAAGCAAGATGTTCGAGGACGATATCTATCGCACCTCATCACAGTATAAACTTTGGTCTTTCACAGAGGCCTCCTTACGGTCCTTGAGGGAGAACACGAATGCCGTTGCGAGCCAACGAGTCCGAGCGGCGCTGCGGAGAGCGCGGGAGGCCCGACAGTCAGCCAACTCGTCGGCTGCGGGGACACCTACAGCAGGGACTAATGTAGGTGGCAAGGGAGAGGAAGAGAAGGACATTGACTGTTTGACACCAGAAGAAGAGAAGGAGTTAGTGAGATTCTATTGCGAAAAGGCCGTGGAGCTGGCGGACACATATAAGCCACCCTTGCCGACGACAGTGCGGGTGCGTACCCCGTTTGATGTTGAAGCGCATAACCGCGAATGACAATAACTAACGTCGAACGTCTCTCTAACAGGCCACTGCGATTCAGTACATCCGTCGATTCTACCTCAGCAACTCGCCAATGACCTACTCTCCCAAGACAATCATGCCCTGCGCCCTCTTCCTTGCTACCAAGACGGACAATTTCTACATGTCCCTGCGCCAATTCGCCGAAAAGGTCCCAGGCGAAATAACAGCAGAAGACATCATCGCCCCAGAATTCCTCATCATGCAAAGCCTCCGCTTCACATTCGACGTCCGCCACCCCTTTCGCGGCCTCGAGGGCGGCGTCATGGAACTGCAAGCCATGGCCCAAGGCCTGGGCCAGCCAGCACCTCACCTCCCTCACCAGACATCAGAAGACCTACGCCGCGGACTCCTCGCCGTCCCCCCATCACCAAACGCTCCCCCGTCCTCCTCAATCACAGACCGGATCGCCCGCGCACACACCACAACCCGCGAACTCCTCAAAACCGCCGCCCAAATGACGGATGCCTACTTCCTCTACACACCCTCGCAGATCTGGCTGGCGGCCTTCATGCTCGCCGATCGCCCCATGGCCGAATACTACCTCGACACGAAACTCGGCGGGCCAACCGCCCAAACCTCCGACGCACAAGCCGGGAACCCGCTCTACGACCTCCGCGCGAAACTCCTCCGCACACTCAACGACTGCGCTGCCCTTCTGCAATCATACAAGTCCCTCAACTCCGACCCAGAGCAAATGAAGAACCTCAAACGCATCGGGAAGAAGTTCTACTACTGCCAGAACCCGGAGAAAATCTCCCTAGCCGGGCAGAAGCGAATCCCTGCTGCTGCTGCCGCTGCCGCATCGACAGGCGAAGGCGCCACCTCGGAAAGTGAAGTCGAGCGGCTGGCGAAGAAGCGGAAGCTGGAGCGGGAGCAGAAGGATCGGGTGTCGAGGGATATCTTTGGCGGAGAGCTGGTGGCGCAACGTGTCAAGGAGGGGCAAATGGGCGAGTAACAGCCACCGTCGTAGGACTGATGTGGTCGGAAAACTGATATATACCTCTTTCTTCGAATAGATTTCGGTAGTGGAACAATCACAACCTAATTAGTCAATGTACATTACTGTCAAAGATCTACAAGAGAAGGTGAATCGAGTTCTGTAAACTCTACCCTACACACTGTATCAGGACCGGCAGAGAGCAAGACTATCAGCCGGCTTATGTGTATTGGATATTATAGTCATTCATCGGCTAGCCTCACAAGATGACCGACTGAGTTTAATCAGACTATATGAAAGTGTTTCTATAACAGGTATAATGGGGATGATCATAAAAGAGAAAAGGAACATCGAATTCAGCCATTACGCTCGGCTCAGCTCTAGTAGGAGGATGAGAGGTATGAAAACGGACCATCTAAAAGGCACCCAAACAATGAGAGAAAAAGCAGAAGAATATCTCCAACAAAAATATGTAAAGAAAAAGCAAAGTCAGCACTATATCACTGGCTCCAGGATACATCATCACTCCCGGAAGAACTTTTCCTTCCCTGCCGCACTTTTTGTGGTCATCTCTAAACGTTCCAATCGTAACAAAATGCAGAGACTGAATTGAATGGCTTTACACAGCACCCTCCGAGACCATCTTCTTGCGCAGGTGGTCCTTGTACTCGCCAATGGTGCCGTCCCAGCGGTGGATGGTCTTGTGCTCGCACACCATGATGTCCTTGGCGATCTTGTCGAGAAGACGGAAGTCGTGAGACACGACGACAACACCACCGCTGAAGGCGTTGATAGCATCCGCCAAACTGTCGATGGTGGGGATATCGAGACCGTTGGTAGGCTCGTCGAGCAGAATCATGTTGGGGCTCTCGATGGCCAACAGAGCGAAAACAATACGACTCTTCTGACCTTCAGACAAAGTACCCATGAGGGCAGTCTGGGATTCACCGCTCAGACCGTAGCGACCGAGCTGCTGACGCCAGTATTGGTAGTCCTGACTCTTCTCGGGGAACTTGTCGCGAACGAAATCCAGCGCGGACTTGGTCAAGTCCAGCTGTTCAGCCGAGTGCTGACTGTACATGCCGAGTTTCAAGTGAGTGTGACGGCTGACACGACCGCCAATGGGCTGGAGCTTGCCGGTCATGAGACGGAGGAGAGTAGACTTGCCGACACCGTTAGGTCCGACCAGCGCAGTTCGGGAATCCATGTCAACACCAAAGTCAAGGTGCTCATACAGAGTGTCGTCCCAGCTGCCAGAGTAAGAGAACGAGACATCATCGAAGGACAGCACAGGGGGAGGAAGCTTCTCGACTTCAGCGAAACGGAAGGAGAAGACTCTGTCGGGGATAACGGGTTGAATAAAGCCTTCAGCCTCCATCTTATCAAGAATCTTCTGGCGAGACTTGGCCTGTCTGACCAAGTTGGCGTAAGTACCGGCGGAAGCAATGAACTTCTTGATGTGGGCGATTTCCTCCTGCTGCTTGTTGTAGGCCTTCATCTGATTGGTCTCTTGTTCGCTGCGAGTCTTGTGGTACGAATCGTAGTTACCACCGTAGTAGAGGAGCTGCTTCATGCGCATGTCGATCATGGTGGTGCAGACACCGTTCAAGAAATCCTGAGAGTGAGAAACAAGCACCAGAGTGCGCTCCCACTTCTTCAGGTACTCTTCTAGCCACACGCAAGCCTCGAGATCCAAGTGAGCGGTGGGATCGTCCAGCAACAGAAGAGAAGGCTTGACGAACAGGGCCTTGGCAAGGGCCACACGCATACGCCAACCACCAGACATGTCCTTGGTCTTCTTGTGGATGGTCTTCTTGTTGAAGCCCAGACCGGTCAAAATCAGGGAGGCACGAGTGTGGAAGGTGGAGGGATCCATTTTGTCCATGCGCTGCTTCATGTTAGAAAATGATATTGCTATGTAGGGTGAAGTCAAAAGAACTTACGTCGTACAGATCTTCCAGGATAGGGCTCTCGGGACCCTCCTTTTCCAGAATCTCCTCAGCCTGCTTCTCCATGCGGTCCAGTTGGTTCTGTGCCTCAGTAACGACCCATTCCAGAGCACCAAGATCGCTGGGAGGAGCACCCTCGTTCAGGAGGTAGATATCGATGTGCTCGGGGATAGGGTACTCGCGAGTGGCGATAGCCTTGAGCAGAGTGGACTTTCCACATCCGTTCTCACCCAGCAAGCCGTAACGACGACCGAAGTTGAGTTCGAGAGTGGAGTCGGTGATGAGAACCTTGCCGTGGAACACGAGGGAAGCGGATGTGATCTTAACGTCGCGAGAGGAAGCCATCGAGGACAGAACACCGGTGGTGACACGGTCAGACAGACCGTGCTTATCCATCTGTGCGGTGAGCTTCTCGACTTCCTTCATCTTCTCCTCGGTGGTAGCGGGCTGATCTTCGGTAGGGAGAGGTTCGCCATCGGCGTCAACCAAAGGGCTCTCATCACCCTTGACATCCTTCTTCGACTTGGAGGTCTTCTTCTTATCGCCATCGGCGGCACGCTTGGCGAGACGAGCGGCTTTGGAAGCAGACACCATTTTGGCGGTATGTATGGGGGGTTGATAAGGGGATGAGGAGGGGAGGTAAAGGGAGAGAACAGGTAAAAGGTCAAAAGTCTGTCTAGGGTCGTGAACGCAAGTGAAAAAAAAGGCTCGACAAGAGTGGATCGATAGCGGGGAGGAAGGAGAAAATAGAGGGGCGACCGCTTAGGTGGGGTGTTTTCAAATCCAAGAATGAATCCTTGACCTTCTTTTAGAAGCCCTTATCGATAATCTTCGGGGGAGGCGAATTCTCAGCCACTATCTACTCCGTAGTGGGACTCGAAACTCGAACTGAGTTAGATTCGAAGACAAGCAGAATGTTATATAGTATTGAGACGCGAGCCTCGATGAACGAGCGGTCTGATGGCGACAAACAATGGAGATAAACCGCCTAAGAAGGTGTTGGAAGGGATAAAGAAGAGTCTTTTACCTAAGGTACTTGTGGATGTTGGCCGTCGTTCGAAAATTCGTTCAGTGGGGCTGATCCTCATTGGTCAAGCGACGTCACTGCGCGGTACGTGGCGCGGCCATGCCTGATTGGGCAGCTTCCAGGCACGTGACCTTGGCCTTATGCCCAAGGCATTGATAGCCTTGATAGTTTTATCCAATCGAGTGATGTGGTGGGATCTACTCCGTATGAAGGTTTGACATATTCAAACGGAGGATGTGGTCGGCATCATTCGCATCTTTTCATTATAAATATCCAGCGCTGCTCTCTACATGCTGAACGCAAGAGACCAAAAAGTCTAGATCTATTGTATTCGTTGACTGACCCTCTCCAGCATCTCCCTCTCTTCTGCGCTGATCCAGAGGTTATCAGGCATCAAAACTTCGCCACGCTGGATGATTATTCGCTCAGGTGTATCCGTGAAGCTGTCCTCAGATGCATTGGGTTTGACACTTGATTGTTTCTCATGCCTAACACTTTCGGTATCTTCGGGTCTCGGTCGTGCAAGGCTATGCGGAGTCCACCAGTAGACTGGGAACCGCCGTTGCATGTTGTTGATCAATAATGCCACAGAGAGAATCAGCACACACCCCAGCAGCACCACCGGAACCAGGTACCAGCCCACTTCATAGGCCTCGGTGACGGCTAACAGAGCTGTGGCGCCGGCAGGGGGATGTGTGGTATTTGTGATAGCCATGAATGCGACGGTGATGGCACAAGCAAGAGCTCCTCCGACTTGGGGCAAGGCATGAGCATGGGGATTCAAGGCAAAGAGCTTCCCAATCGCTACACCAATGATGCTTGCTGCTAGCTGACCCACTATCACATTTCGAGGTTGAGCGAAGGGCGAATCGATGGCAGAAAACTCCAGCACTGCCGTGGCGCCCTGTCAACTATCAGCATTTGCAATAGCAAGAGCCTCGAATTCCAAGGATGGGTTAGGTACTCACAAAACTAGCAACGATAATGGGTGCATGGTGCGCCTGGAACGACGGGACATTCATGGAGACCTCGGCAACAATAAGGACGCCACAGAATGCTCCGATGAGAGCCCAAAAGGCAATCACCAGGTTGCCAACAGCTTTGGGCGGTTGGTCTCCTCTATATCCCAAGAAATGAGAGACAGGACGAGGCAGCCAGCGCCATGGTGGAGCGGGCAGATACGGGTTCAAAAAGGCATCGATATCGAAGTGCCAGCGAGAGAGGTCAATGTCTTTCGAGGTGGGTGGTGCGTGCTGAGGTTGGTGCACCATGACTGAAGCTGTGTCACCGATGAGGGTTTGCCAAGTCAGAGGACATAGCACAACTGCGAGCCTTGTAAGTCCACGAAAATGCCACAGGGTCAACGAGTAGGTTAAGGTTGGTGGATCAGGGTAACATCAGATCTGTGATATGTTCCTCGACAAGTGCTGTACACGGGAAAGGAAAAGGAGAAACATAACCAGGCTGGGCCCAGAAGAGACAAAGGCAATTGGCTCCAAGGGAAGTATATATGTGCAGCAAATTGGAGAAAGGGAGAGAGGAGACTGCCTTGAAATGAGGAGAAACCCTAGACTCGTGAGGAGAAGAGAGGGGATCAAAATTCAAGTAACCCGTCCAGTAACCAGCAGCACATCATTCCTGCCTAGGTAAGATTCGTCTGGGAGTGAGGTTTCTGGCTACCATCACCATACCTATACCTATATAAGTGCCATAGCGCTGACAGACTCTCGAGATGGTTGACCTCTTTCGTCCCCACGAGCATAGCAACGCCCATATCTCCGCGGAATGCGACAATATGTATGGGCTTTGGAGAGTCTCATCCATGTATTGTCCCTGTATAGCAAAACGTCCTGTTCCCTTAGTTTCTGCTTTGATGTTGCAATTGTCTTGGTTCTTCCACTCAGAGGATTTCATATGGTAATGGAAACTCCTGTTTGGGTTTAGTGGTTGTCTGCGGAAAAAATGAGGTCATGTAATGACTGAGCGGTATTGTCAGTCGAGCGTAAAATTACGTAGATACGTCTTCGCTGCTAACACCGACCCGTGGATTTCCGTTACTCCGTTAGGTAGCTGCTGACCACCAGGTAAGCAATAATCGTCGATTATCGCGGGAACCAATCTAGCCTATCTTGGTATAAGCTCAGGGGCGTAGGATATCAGATCATCATTATTATCTATTTTCATCATCAATATCACGCTGCGTCCTAAATCGTACATTTTCTTCAATTCAAACATCCATGGTCTTGCCAAGCTTCGAGCTTTCCTTCGCCAGCTCAATCAATCTGATGACCTTGGCCGCCTCAGCGCCACTGGCGGGGAGATCGTCTTCTCCGGCAAGAGCCCGGGCAAGCTTCCGATAGTATTCGGTGTAGGTAGGTGGCTCCACAGTTGGGACGATCTCGGCGACAGGCTTGCCGTCCTGGAGGGTGGTCAGGGTTCCTGTGCAAAGCATCGTTAATCATGAGATTCCCCAAAGTGCAAGGTCAATGTGAACCTACCGTATCTGTCACTGGGTTCCCGGGCGTATCCGTTGTCTGAGGGTCTCATTCCAGCCTTGAGCTGGTCCTCCTGGATGTCGAGGTAGAACTATGGAAACCATGTCAGGGTTTGGCCGAGGCAAAAGTGATCGGATTTCTCACCTTCTTGAAGCTACCCTTCTCTCCTCGAACCCAGTATCTCAACTGCTTCTCCTCGGGGCTCACGACAGCCGCCTTGGCTGTCACAAGAAGTCCATTCTTGTAGTGCAGCAAGACAGTGAAAGAATCCTCAAATCCGGACGTGTTCACAGCCCTCTGAGAGCCAACGAACCCAGTGATCCGATCTGGCATGCCCATCAGGTGAACAGCCTGGTCGAGTAGATGGCTTCCGAGATCGTAGATGGCGCTGCCGCCCGGGATGACCTTGTTCTTCCATTTCGAAACATCGGCGGCGGGCTCCTCGGGGCGGTGACGGTCAAAGTGAGTCTCGAATTCGACAACTCGGCCAAGCGAGCCGTTCTTCACCAGCTTGGTTAACGTGACAAAATCGGCATCCCATCGGCGGTCTGTAAACCTCGAGGTTAGTTCTCGCAATTGGATTTTGGGACCGAATTCGATTTGTCCAACGTACTCTGGTATACGGCCAACATCTTGTTCTGCTGCTGGGCAAGGGTAACGAGTTCATCGGCCTCCTGCGAGGTGGGAGTGAAGGGCTTTTCGCAAACAACTAGATTGGAATTGGCCAGAAATCAGCGACAGAGCGATCAAAACTCTCGACGAAAGGACCAAACCAACCATGTTTGCCGTTCTCCAGAGCCAGCTTCGCCAGAGCATAATGCGAATCAGGAGCAGTGGTGATGATCACAACGTCGACCGCAGCATCCTTGACCATGTCCTCGGTCGTGCGATAAGACTTGATTCCAGGGTGGTCTTTCTCGGCATCGTTCCCAGGCTTGGGTGTGCGCTGCACAATGGCATAGAGCTTCAACTGAGGGACTTCCGTGACGAAGGGAATGTGGAAGATTTTGGCGCTGAAGCCATAGCCTACGATACCGACGTTCCAGGTTTTGGAGGCCATGATGATCGTCTAGTAGTGGGGGGTGATGAGGAATGAACCAACAGACAAGCGTGTAAATTCAATTGAGGAAGTCAGGAATGTGATTCTCGTCTTATGTCTTATATACACAAAATGAATACTGCGTGCTACTTTGCATGCTGTTGAAAATTCTCCTCCAGAGTCATCATAGAAAAGGAGTGGGTGCGGGGGAAGGTCCTCGCGAGGGGCAACCTCTGGATCGGGCGGGGCTCCATCCAGAAGCCGACTCTGTCCCGTCTCGGATTTCTGTCCGCCGGCCGATGATGAGGTCTTCCATCCCATTCTAAGCACTCTCGGAGATTAGAGTCACGTAATTGAAGAACGCAATGACTGTGATGATTTCTGTGATTACAAATTGCAGGACTGATTTCCAATCATGACTGGATGGCGTTGGTCTATTCGTCGATCCCAACACACCGACTCACTTCAATCGCGTCCTAGAATGGCAAATGTCAGCCGAATGCAAAGTGTATTGGGATAGGTTCAACCCACTTGCAAACCCTCGGGCTGGTGCAGCGTGCTCTTGTACACTAGATTCGGGTTCCCGAGCACCTCAAAACTGGGCTTATCATCCTCGCCCAGGAAAGACTGTACCGTCCGCTGAGGCATGCCCTCCTTGTTATAGCTCTTGATCGGGCCCTTCTTGGCGGCCTCGCGCTTCTGCTCCACCGTGCTGCGGACATACTCCAGATACGGTGGGTTACCGGGCCGCAAGACATTGTCTGCAGCCAGAACCGAGACATTCGGAACGATCATGCCGAGCTGTTCGCAGAGCATCAGGTCCGTAGTGTACGCGGGTTTGTAGTGATCGATGAACATAAGCTCGATCTGCTTGACCTCACCGCTAGTGAACAGCTTGTGCAGGGACTTGTCACTTCGACCGATGATGATGCGGACGAAGTCCCGCAGACCGGCCAGCTCGATCAGCATGTTGGCAATGGCGGCATATTCCGGGTTCAGTTCCAGACTGAAGTAGCGCTTACCGCCAGCTCGGCGGACGGCATCGCCGAAGAGTATGGCCGAGTAGCCTACATAGCCGCCCAGTTCGATCATTGTATGTGGCTTGAGTTCAGCAATTAGATCGGTAACGACCTTGCCTTTGGCGGCTCCGACGTTCATGAAACGATATTTCTCTTCGAACTTGTGGATGAGATCCAGAACCCGTTGCGGGTTGCCTCTGATCTCATCAATGTCGGGTTGTTCGTAGATGAAATGCAGGAGCTTGATCTCTTTTCCACTCTCATGCTGTACATGTACTCGTGTCAGACGGACATCCTAGTGCAATAAATGTAGCGAACACATAGCTTACCTCTCCAGGACGAGGGTGACGCTGAGTTTGATCTGCCATGATGAACTATGAGATAGGTGTGTATGTGAAGGACGATGTTAGATTGTGAAGATGGTAAAGCTAACAGGTAAACATGCTGCCTTTTATTCGAGCACTTCGCTCGACAACCTCCGCGTTTGCGCCAGGTGGCGCTGTAATAGACTCGGGCTTCTACCAGATCTGGAATGGATACATTAACTCCGAGCAGTTTTATACGAGCCCGCGACCTCCATGCTACTAACCTAGGTACAAACACCATTGCGTGGGTTGCGCACGTAATGACATGGAGTGGGAGTCTAAGACTATCAATATCCACTATTCACGATCCGGACATTGTAGGCTACAATAATCTTAGTAATGCTGGTCATTATCAGACAATGTGCGGACTTAATCGCTGATCTCTACTCCGTATACCCCGTCAAATCTACCTCAAACGGAAACGAACCCCGAGCATTCAGTGACGCTGATGTCACTGTCAGCACTGTCGAATGCAGACTGATCGTAGAGCTAAGAACTAAGGTAGTATCGGATGAAACATACAGCCCTGATACTCGGCAATCGGACACTGATAGAGTCATTCGGAGTTAAGATAGTTAGACCCTGGTTTATCGGGCTGTCCAGGGTCTTGGAATCTCTCAGGGTCGAGAACTTCAATTGCCGTCTATAGCCTCTTATTAACTATCGCTTGTTTCACATGTTTTGAAGTTCCAGATTCATCTATCTTCGGAATTAAATGCCCAATATAGTCATTGATAACCTAGACGGGAGCTCTAGGCATCTATCATGTAATAGCGTATGTTGTGACTCATTAAAATATCTGGAAATCAGTTCTTGGAAATTGAGCTTAGAAATGGCTTTGGGAATGCTTATCGGAGCATGTGTGCTCATACAGCTGGTGCTACCTTGTTATCGACAAGCAAGATTTGACGTAGGAACCAGATGTAGACGTTCTTCATGGGACTCTCGGCGCATGTCATGGGGAGATTTCCAATGAGCTGGGCTAATGGATATGTCTTGGATGTTTCCCTATGCCCAATCGAAGTCATTGCGGGCTGACTTGGACCATGCGAAACAGTACACATAAACATGAATGATTTTTGGTGTAACAAGCTCTAAAAATTATGGAACGGAATTTGATTCCAGAATAAACAAGATAAATGAATGGAGACAAGATACAGTATAACACGTCAAAGAAGACAACAGCATGACAACCACCCCAAGCAGTTGTACCAATGCATAGATGACGTGGTTACAGCTGCATTCCAAAGGAGGGGTTGAATGTGCACAAGAATAACAATCACCCACGCCGAGGAACACTGAGACAGCGAGTTTCCATCTCATCCGCAACAAAATGGCCGTCAGGACGATGCGACGAGCTTTCAGCTCGATACCAAAAGAGCAAACCCTGCAGTTTGTCCAAAAACTGGTACGGATGCTAATGCATCTGCTGTGGATCGCCGTCTCTTTCGTACTACTACCCCTCGACAATGCCATTCTCTTGGCAGTTTACATCGTCGGGTTTGTTTCTCAACTTCTGCCGGGCTCGTGTCCGAGTCGTCGGAGAAAGGCAGCGTTGAGAGCTGTACACTTCTATCCCAAAACCGTCCTTGTGACGGGCGTAGATACCCCGCACGGACTGGCGGTGGCACGATGCTGGTACTACGAAGGCCATCGGGTGGTGGGTACGAGCATCACGGATTCCTCCATCCGATCTGGTGAGAGCATGTCCCAGACGCTCACGGCTTTCTACAATATCTCCCATTCGCAATATGTTTCAACACTGCTGGACATCATACACAGAGAGAAAGTGGACATTTGGATGCCGTGTTCGGACAAGGCTACCGTCATGGAGGATGCGATGGCCAAAGAAGTGATTGAGAGCCGGACCAACTGCAAATGCATCCATCTGGACACAGAGCTCGCAGACAGGTTCAGTCGTCCAGAGTCTTTCATTCAGTATCTTGTCGAGAAGGACCTGCCTGTGCTGGAAGACCATCACGTTCAATCGCGCGCCTCTATCCACAGAATACTCCATCGATCTCCGACCAAGGTCTATCAGATGCGCAGAGTGAGCTCCATCGCAGGTGACAGCAAGGTTCTTGTGCTGCCAAAGCGCACGCTCAGCCAGACTTACACCGAAGTCAGCGAGATTCAAATCTCCAAGGACAGCCCCTGGATGCTGCAGCAACAGACCCGCTTGGGGACATACTTTGCCGAAATGCTTGTGGTTCGCGGTTTCGTCGAAGCGATCAAGATCCGTCCCTCGGATCAGCAGTTGGGCTGGGGCCGGTCCCGTCTAGACGAGGCGCTCGCCATCGCTATCCGCAAACTCATGGAGAGATTTGCGATGAAAGGCGGGCCGCGCTTGACGGGACAACTTTGCCTCAAGTTGATGGTCGATGAGGAGTTTGATACAAACTCCGTGCGTCATGTCATCCACATTGCAAGCTGTACGCAAGGTGCAGCGGCCATCAGGCATCTCTTGCAAGATGCATCCTGCTCGATTCCTGCTGGCTGCTTAACTGTATTGGCTGCACAGACTAACGGCATGCCTACGCGCTTGACAAAGTCGACGAATGCAGGGATTCGTAGTCTGATGTGCAAGGCGCCGTCCCAGGGATCGAGATTCTATGAGGCGCTCAAGACTCGCGAATGCGGAAGACTTGTGCTAGTCGTTGAGCGGGCAATGCAATTGCTCGATCGCTTAATTTACGAAGCGGGTCAGCTCGTTTTCTGGAAGAATTGGCAATATTCCTCTTTCGACCCCTTGCCCTGGTGGTGGGATGCTCATATCTACCAACCAGTTAGACACTTCGGAATGGCTTTCAATGTTTTCACTGAAGCTCAGGGTAAAACGGCGTGAAGCGAACTTTCTGCACCCATCTCTTTAATTTGTTTGATTAGCATTTTTGCGGGTTGGTATCCTACAGGAGCGTCGGGCGGCGTTTTAGAGCTGTTGATGAATATTAGATACATTAAAAGGAGTTCCAAATTTTGAAGATGCAATAGCCGTTTCATCTATGTGGGGGTCTCCAAGCAGTAATCCATGGTACTCACACTGTGGTGAGTTTTCCTCTGATAGATGTGTTATAGGTACATCTTATGCATCCTACCAAAAACTCACATCCAGCAATGTGGAAGCCAAGCGTGGCTGAATTGACACTCATGTTTCCATGAATAGAACTGTTTCCTAGGAGAACTTGAGAACAAGGTTCTGGCCTAACAACACGCTTCCCGTCCGCTGCGTCGCCTCTGAAGATCCACTTGAAGCGAAGAACATCGTCATCCAGTCGAGTCTTAATTCAGTCTATCTAGGTATCAAACTGGGCATTAGATTTTTTCGACTGTCAGTACGTCAGGTCAAGGGATATTAGCATAATTCAGACAAGCTGTATGGATTATCAGGATTGGAATTCATTCAAGATAAGTCAAGTACTGTATTACCTACGTATATTGGCTCCACAAATAGAGCGGCGCAGTTGTGTCGCCAGCTGTGAGATGACCTGATGTGGCTCAGAGACTACTCAGCATACACAGGCTTCGAATCGCATTATTATACCACTCTTGTCAGGAGGAGGACTGAATAAATTATGATAGATGACCAGGTCAGAATTGATTCTATCAGTATAAACATGTATAAAGATGCATACTGAGAGCAAGGTATCCGTGGAGCACAGGATTGACGCACGTCGGGTAATTAACATATACTTGGACAGAGGCACGAGGCAGAAGAATTACCAGAAATATCAATGCGTGCTAACCACGAGAACAAAATTTCAGTTCCTCTTCTTCTACTACTCATTCTGTAGAATCCCACTCTCATCTCTTTCAGCAGCTAAACCATCACTATCTTATGGTTTGCGACTTGGTGCTCTACTCTCGATATCGTCAGTTGAGTCTCGACCTAGTGTCCGCAGTCCACACGGCATCGGTCGGGTTGCCCCGTTGCGCTGCGCAATCCATCAGCATAAACAAGCACACTTGATCATTTTCTCCTCATTCCACGACGATCTTCTCTCTTTCTTTTTACCCTGCATACTTTTTCAGGTGGAACAAATAGATCATCCAGGACATTAAATATATATTTCGGGGATTTAGGTGCCTTAACTCGAATTACTTCCTCTATAGGAAGTTCCGTCAGCATCAGCTTCCCAGTCCACTCAACCCGCAAAGATGCGAGTATCACGGCCTTCCTTCAATCCCGGACGAACGAAAAACCTCATTCATGGGGTACAAGCCTTCATCATCTTTCTCGCATGGGCTTTGACCATTGCCGTCTTCACAAAGGGTGATGGGATCGATGGGCGGTCAGCCTGGTACTGGGCCTTGGTGAGCCTCAGTCCTCTATTGCACTTCTGGCAAAGAAGAAACGTGGACTTTGCAGCTAATGTGTCGGCGCAAATGCAGTGTTGGCTCAGTATCCCAGGCCTAATTTACCTCGTCGCAGTGCCCATGTGGCCACGCGCACGACGATTTGGAAACGTCTATGCTTTCGCTACGGTCGACTGTCTATATGCCATTCTGTGGTTTTCTGCATGGGTTTGCGTTGCAAGCTATGTCGCGCAGGGAAAGTCCGAGGGTAAGAGCGACAGTGACAGCGATAAGAATAAAGATAGCAAGAAGAGTGGGTGCGACGCATGGAAGTACGGAAGCGCCAGCAAATGCAACATTAGTACGGCAACGGTTATTCTGGGGGTTGTGATCTTGTGGGTTTTTCCTTCTGAATCTCATGTTTCACGCATATCCCTGCTAATGCGGCTTGTCTGCAGCCTTCTCTTTGTTGCGACCGCTTGGATGTCCTTCCGCAACGTCGTGCATTTTCGCCGAACCGGTACTCTTCCCGACGCTGTTTCCGATCCTACATTCGCTGCACAGAGCAAGGCCGCTTTCTCCTCGAACCCTGCGCATGACTTTGACGAAGAGGAGGATGATTTCCGCTCCGGACGTGCTGGAATGGGCGCTTCTGTTCGTGGTGAGCAGGACGAGGATTATGCCCTGCTGCATCAGAGCGAGGTAGACGACCTCGGCAATGGCAATGGACGATCTGCAATGCATGGTGCCTATGATCCCACTGCTACCGGATCAGGGAGCGTGCTTCATGACTTCAACACCAGTTACGGCGGCGCGCACGGGCAACACTATGCACAACCGTCTGAATACGGTTCTACACTGAGTGGCTATGGACGTTAAAGACGGCTCTTTGATCTCGACTCATGCATTGACTTTGTATTCTGGTATTGATCATGAAGCGGTGTTTGCAGGCGCATATACTATTGTACGGCTTAAGTGTGTTGGCCTTCTGTCTATCGAGACGAATTCGATCGTATTTACTTATTTGACTTTAGGCGGTGATATCTGTTGCAGTCAGTCGGTGTGGGAAGCAAAGCCTCTTCAAAAATTGTTTGCATTTTACTGTTTCTTTGACGATGTTTATGATCACCCTACTTTTGCAGCTATTTTGGAGCAGTGTTAGAGGAGTTGCAATTGTTCAGCTTATGACATGGACTTTAGATACTCATGGATATTCAAATCAACGTCTAGTTTGAGTCAATATGGCAATGACGCATGCTATTGAATAAGACGAATATTGACGACCCAAACATGGAAAGCGTGTTGAAGTCATGACATGGGGAATTACCTCCAACCAGCGGGATAGTGATATGCCTCTGATAAAGACTTGTGTACGGAGTATGCGGGTTCTGCCACCGCCTTCCGTTCGTATTGAATAGCTTCTGGACAGCTTGCGATCTTGACAATGTAGATAGTCAGTGACCATTTCAAAGATACCCCTTTCACACCATATTTGTCTACAAGGAGATTTAGGCTTTGAAAGCGATAGCTGTTGTTGCTATTTTTTTTGATTCTCACTCTTTGGTAAGTGTGCAATACTGGACATGACTCCATACTATGTATCCAGACTGACACAGTCGCAACTAGCTGAAACTGGAACTCGGGCAAAACTCCAAACTTGTATATCAGACCGGCCGGCCCTTCCATCAAAATGGCCAGCAGCATCGACATCTTCAACCACTACCCCCTCCACCTCGACCCGACCTCCAAAGCCATCTCCCTTCCTCCCTCATCCAGCCAATCCGCCTCTCAAACTAAAGCCGTCAACGAAGAGCTGCAAGCCCTCAACAACCTGCACCGCTCACTAATTGCCCTCGACGCCCCTAACATCCCCCCTCCGCCACTCCCCATCAACCCCAAGCGCAGCGCCCAGATCACCAAACTCCGCGACACCGCCAACCAGGCCTACCGCAAATCCAATTACGCAGAGGCCGTGAAGCTCTACACCTACGCCATCGATATGGCCCTTAGTCGCCCCGGCTGGGAACCGGTCAATCTGGTCCGCGACGAGTTATCCGGCCTGTATGCCAACCGCTCGCAGGCGTACATGGCGCAGCAGGCCTGGCCCGAGGGAATGCTGGACGCCAAGTCTAGCTGTGATTGCAAGCCTGTTGCGAATGTGAAGGCTTGGTGGCGCGCGGGCAAGTGTCTGGCTGAGATGGGACGCTGGGAGGAGGCTAGGACTATTCTCGAGCGCGGACTGGATGTTGAGGGGAAGGCTGGTGAGGGTGGGAAGGAACTGGGGGCGTTGTTGGAGGAGGTTGAGCAGAGGCTGCAGAAGTCAACATAGTTTGATGCTCGACCTGCATTGGTTCGAGCGACTGGTTACAGTCTGGGGGAGGTCTTTCTTATGGTGAATTACGATATCTGCAGCTCAGTGTTTTGGGCTGGCCTTATCTTCATGTTTTTTCGGGTTGCTGATGATGTTTACATTGCGATTCATGGTTGATCTTTGGCGTTAATGGAATGATGGGTTCCTATTTACTCTGGTTGTTTCCTTGACTGATCTTCAAGATAGAGCATCACATAATGCAAAAATATCAGGTAGTGGACACAAACAAATGTGCTGATACTGCAGGTAGCAAGCAGGACAAAAGCGAGTGAGCTAGCCAGTATACGATATTAAAAAGATATGTCTTCACACGAGAATGAGTGAAAAAAGGAAATGTCTTCCGATGCGGGGAATCGAACCCCGAGCTGCTGTGTGAGAGACAGCGATGTTAGCCATTACACCACATCGGATATTGTTGAAGCACACCCCAAAATCTATATCCATAATTCAGGAAATTCTCTGTGTCACTTTGTATCTGGTAATGGGTCCAATGATCCGTGGTCCGAAGTGGGGCGCAACTGAAGCCGTTTAAACCTTTTTGCGCAGTTTTACCCCCCTATAGGGTTAAAAAAGGCCAACTCTTCAACAAGTATCCGATGTGGTGTAATGGCTAACATCGCTGTCTCTCACACAGCAGCTCGGGGTTCGATTCCCCGCATCGGAAGATTTCTTCACATTTCTTTTTGAGTGTTTTTTTTCCCTCCCTCCCCGATTGACCACTTTCACTCTGCTATTTCCATAGGTGTGTCGTGTTCCAGCTTAATTTGTGAATGTACCAGGGCTTCTTTACAAATTAACAGTATCTTGGGTACTTTAGTCTATCAGGGGTATATCTTGGGCTAAGTTACTAAGTCATTTAGTTACTCATAACTACAGTCTTACCCCTGCAGTTAGGGCTATTGAACTATCCATTATGGTATGGATCCCTGTCTCTCAGCGTACTTGCTGTACTCAATATATATTTCCATCCACCTTGAACAATGCAAAAGTGCCCAAGTAAACTACCTACCTCTCAGGAAACAGACCATTACGCTGGTAATTCCATTAACTGGCTAACTCAACGAACATCTAGATGCTGGAGGTGTAGCTTCAAAGTCTTCGGCTCTGCCTTTTTGTCATTATCATTACTTTTATTTTTCTTATTATCTAAGTTATTGTCTCAACAGCATTCATCATGTATACCTCATCATCGTCTTCTCCCTTTGACTCCGCTCCCTTCATTGGCAACTACACTCGTCCCATCACCTCTTGTCTACCATGTCGTCGTCGAAAGGTCAAATGTGATCGCCGACAACCTATTTGTTTCACATGCGAGCGAGGCAATCATGCCTGTTCCTATGTGTCTTCCCTTCAGTCACCCAGACTGGCCTCAGAATCCAGCCGGGTGACCAAATCAACCTCTACCAAGGTGTCCTCCACACTGACCAGGATCAATCCCAGACTCCAGCGTCTGGCGACCATTCTGGCCCAAGCACAGGCGCTGCCATATGAAGCATCGGAGCAAAGTCCTGCCTTGTCGGGATCTTATCCTACTACTCGATCCTCACCTCTTCCCAGAGATGCGGCAACCCCGCTGCGCCAATCGCAGGAAGATGTGCTCATCTTAGAGAATGGAGTACCTCGCTTCATCTCGGGCAAACACTGGGCCTGGATGGCTGAAGAGGTGTGCAAAACAATGAACCCTGTACTCTTGTAGGAGAAGAAAAAAGATGTGAAATGAATGGTGATCTGATCTCTCACCAAGCAGATTCAGGATATCCAATCTCTGCTCACCGAGTCGCAAAAGTCCTCGCCGGAACAGCCTCCAGACGATCATCTTATCTGGGGAAGTGATACCTCACCGTCTAATGCGTACAGCTTTTATCCCGATACTCGAGAAGATTGCTATTTACTGCTCAATGTTTTCCTAGCCAATGTCGATCCCATAGTCCGAATAGTGCACCGTCCCAGTTTAGCTCGTCGCTTTGATGGATTCATTCGCACCCATTACTCCCTAGACAAGACTCCAGTTGGCAGCAGTTACAGTAACAATATGACATTCGATCCTAACAAACTTGATGCATTTGAGCCGCTGGCCATGTCCATTTTTTATGCAGCCATTAATAGTATGAAAGAAACCGATGTTTCTACAGTCTTCAACACAAACAAATCCCATCTCCTGCAAAGGTACCGAGCTGGGACAGAAGCATACCTGAAACAACATGCGTTTATGACCTCAAGGATCTTTGAGGTTTTACAAGCATTTGTTATCTTTTTGGTAAGTTATTGTATCTGTGGAAGATAGCCGTTCACAGCTAAACATAGTCGCAGACAGCTCAATATCGGGAAGATGACATGGGCAGAGTGTGGCCCTTGACGGGTCTGGCCATTCGCATGGCCACTGTTCAAGGCCTCCACCGTGACCCATTAGCGCTACCACTGGGAACGATTGACACAGTGCAAGTAGAGCTGCGCCGCCGTTTATGGGCACAGATCTGTCACCTAGACTTTCGGGCTGCGGAAGGTCATGGTTTTGCTCCTTCAATCCATGAGTCTGATTTTGATACGCGTCTCCCTCGCAATGTGGATGATGTTGATCTAATAGAAGGAGTGGCACCCTCTACCCGACTCTCAGATGCGCCTAAATTCACGGATATGACCATCTACCTGCTTCGAATTACAGCCGCCCAATGTTACGGGCGCATTATTCAGATCACACACGCATCGCGAAAGAGACTACGGGCCAATTTCCAGGGAGCTTTGGGAGAAGCTCAAGTTTTGCCTGAACTTCAAACCCTATTAAAAACTGCCGAGGCCATGGCAGCTGAGCTGGAGAAGGCACTGGCTAATCTTGTTCAATACTGCGACGAGAGGGTCAGCTTGCAATCAATGGCCTTGCATCTCAGTGCTCATCTAAAATCCAAATTTTGGGTCATATTTTGGATCCAGATTTCCCGCCAGGACCGCGAGAAGATCATCAGCCCGGCCATGCGAAGGAGGTAACACCCCCAAAGGTCCAAACAACGTCATTGCATTTGCTGACTTGCAAAGTATATTCATGGATGCGGCCACAACCGTAGAGAACTGGTGTACTATCGCCTCAAGCAAGGACTGTGAGCCATTCCAATGGCATATTTCTTCTCATGCCGGCTTCTACCCCATCCTTTACGTCCTTTCTGAGGTTTGTAGCCCTGTATTTCAAACCTCGGAGTGGGCCGATCTTCGACAAAGGGGTCTGCAGGTAGCAAATGCGATTTACGAGATCCGCGGCCAGCATACAACCGGGGCATGGCGAGCCATTATATGGCTGATTGATCGACTTCGATCCCACAATCTCGGTCCCGCCGAGGACAGTCGAACAGCCGGTCTCACCCCAGGGCCAGAGGACAATCCGATGCTGATGCAATCAGTGCCGGATAGCATGGGTTCGGCGGGGATGGGATTAGATACTGGGGATTTTTTGGGGTTTATGAACCTAGGGGACTTTGATTTCCCTGACCTTGCGGGTGTTGACCCGATGTCGTTTCCCAATCCTTCGCAGTGGAGCTAATGTCATAGCATATTAGTTCTACAGTAGATCATTCATCAAGACATCCCTATTTCGTATCTTACAGATTGCCCTGAGTACTGAGAACAACCACAGAGAATTATAGAAGATACCTACTAGTCTTACGGTCAGGCAGTTTCGAGCTTTAATCACTACGCAGCTCTGACAGTCTCATCAAAACAGCTATGAATGCCTTGTCTGGTGCAATCGCCAAGTAAGGAATCATTTCCCTGGTGACTATTTCTAATAAAGAATACCACCTTATGACAGATGAGGATACCGTATCGAGAGGACGTGATATGGCGCGAGCGTCACCGGTGCCTGTAGCGTAGCATCTGCGGATCCTCCGACGTCCATATATAGTGGTCAGTCAGAAATGTGTGGATCTGATAAATGATAATACGTACTGTATTACCCTTGTCAATTAACCTAAAGACCATCGCTCTTACTACAGAGGATATAGAGGCTTATTTGGGGAGATCTCTGTCCGGTTTCAAACTAAATACTGTGAGTAGAGTAACTGTTAGCCTCGTACGAGGAGACAAAGGTGGGCTCGGCCGAGGGATCCACTGCTCGTACGAGGTTATTTTATAGCGTACTCTGTAGTATACTAGAATAAGGGTATAGAAGTATGATTGTGGCATAACAAATATCAGACTTTGCCATTCCTGCTAAACGAAGTCACTAGCTGAAGTACGAGATAAACATGCAGTCACAGAAGCGAGACACCTCAATCACCACCGGATTTGGAGCATATGGAGCCCCCAAGAAGCACGGAAGAAACTAATATCAAGGCTGATCTTACGCTGAAGCAAGAGAAAGATGATCGAGGTGGTTCCCGTCATGTTCGTCGAGGATTCCTATCCTTTCTGTGTTTTGTCCCAGCAATTGAAGATCCGCGAAAATATCCCGCGGGACGCAAGTGGTTCTTGACGGCCATAGTGGCAGGGGGAGGATTGGTCGTGCCTCTGAGCAGTGGTGTCTTGTTCCGTAGGTCTTCTCCAAGTGCTTCTGCTGCTGACGGATTTGCTATTAATATGAAGGATAGCCTGCCTCATCATGATCGCTGAGGATCTTCATACGACCGTCTCCGTGGTGAACCTGTCTATTGCCTTTGGTTCTCTCTCTGTCGCCATTGCACCTCTCTGGTGGTCACACCTGGCAGAACTCTACGGTCGTCGACTAGTTTACCTGCTCTCCTTCTTCTCCCTTGGCCTTTTCAGCATCCTGGCCGCAATCAGCCCTAACATTGGCATGTTTGTCGCAATGCGACTCCTCAGCGGCGCCGCCAGCGCATCCCTCCAGGCTGTCAGCGCTGGTACCATATCTGATATGTTTGAGGCGCAGGAACGAGGCAAAGCCATGGGCGCCTTCATGCTCGGCCCTATGTTCGCTCCCATCATCGGTGGTGCGCTGGTCACCCGGTGGAGCTGGCGCAGCACGCAGTGGTTCATGGTGATCTACGGGTGGGCTGTGTTTCTAGTCATGGTGTTCCTCATGCCAGAGACTGCGACGAACCTTGAAGAGAACCAGCACAACGAGCGGGCCAAGTCGACAAGACCCGCGACAAAAGTCGTGAATCTCTTGCTGGAACCCATCCAGGCGGCGACCTTGCTGCAGTACCCGCCCATCCTCATCACCGTGTATTACACCAGCATCGTCTTCGCAACGTACTACCTCCTCTGCGTCTCCATCGAAGATACCTTCGCCTTACCGCCGTACTCGTGGAGCTCGGTCATCGTTGGAGTCGCGTATATCCCCGGCGGCCTGGGACTGCTCTTTGGTGCGATCATCGGCGGCCGCTGGCAGGATTATATCATGAAACGGACAGCGCAGGACGAGGGACGCTTCGACGACGAGGGCAATCTCATCTTACACCCAGTCGACCGCCTCGGCGAGAACTGCTTGCTGGCGGGTATTCTCTTCCCGGGGGCATTGTTGTGGTGGGGGTGGACGGCCGACAAGCATGCATTCTGGCTGGTGCCGGTCAGTACATCCTTGCATCTAACTCTCAAATCTAACAACATATAGTTGATCGGCAACTTCTTCTACGGCTTCGCGGGAATGATCCTCACCAATGTGACCATGACGATGCTGACGGAGTTCACACCCAAGAGGTCAACTATGGGCATTGCGGTGAACAATCTGATGCGTAACAGCTTGTCCTGTGTGAGTGCGGTGATAGCGCAGCCCCTGTTTGATGCCATTGGTACTGGCTGGTCCTTTACGGCAGCCTGTCTCTTCTGTCTGCTCAGTGGGATACCTTTGATTCTGTTGCGAATCAAGCGGGAAGAGTGGAGTGCGAGGATGAAGGTGGCTCTGGGGGATATGCAGTAGGGCATTTCCTATTTTACATTGTTTAATAGTAGAATGAGAATCATTGAAAAAGACAAAGTTCAGAGGTTAAAAAAGATACCATATATACTTATTGCGTCTTTTTAGGTTGATACAAAGCAATGCCAGCCCACGTCTAATAGGATAGAATAGACCATGGGACAGGAAAACAGTAAGCCGTCATATATGGCCCCTTGTCCTCTTGTACGAATATTAGAAATCTGTGTGCGTTCCCAGTTCCACGTCAAGGGAATGCAAATATCAAATTTCTACTTATCGTCTCTGCTATATACCGGCACCTGATGATCCTTACTTCGCAGTTATGATGAGAAGCATTGCCATGACCTTCAGAGTCATCCTGCCTAGGACCATGTACGTACTAGTGATGCCCACTGCCATGTTAACTTTCTAAATGGCGTCTTTACAAGAAACTAGGCAGGCTTATTCTTCTACCAGTCTGTATTCATAATGTCCTTATATATCACCTGAACTGATAGCACCTCCAGAATGATAGAACAGTCAGGTAGGCAGACGGCCAGACCTAGGACTATCCTCAGACCTCATGCAAAAGCAAGACCGTCAACCCAAACGCACAACATAGCCAAGGTACGAAGGAGAACTCCGAGACAAAGTCGAGAAATATGAGTGGTGCCTTCCATGTTATTAGCCTGAAGGTTGCAGCAAGCTAAAGAGTTCTGTGCAAGGTAGAACACGCAAATCCAACACCAGGGGTGAGAAAGGATCCAAGATGCTGCGTAGGTGATGCCCTGTGGTAACATGATGTTCACGAGGAGAGACCATACTAATATAGAGGTTGCATTGATTGCATGCAATAGAGTCATGTAAGGCAAAAAGACTGTATATTGTGATCTCAACCTCTACCTCCTTTTTCGATTCGAAGCAGTCAACCAAATCTTGGGGTTCCTGTCTTACGTACAGAAGGTCTTTGCCGGACTTGTATGATAATAAGAGGATTGACAGCTTTGATATGCTGAGGTTCCTTAATAACTTTTACTTTACTATAGTGGTGCATTTCTGAAAACATCCTCCCACGTTGTAGTAGTGGTGTCGGCCGTTGACGTCGCCGCCCATAACTTCTCTAGAAGTAAGGCAGCATCTCGCATGCCCATAGTTCCCAGATCTGCCGTCATTTCGAGTAACTGGCCGTAGATAAAGTCGAAATCAGGCCCGTTCCTGGCGTCCCTTTGCGCCCAGAAGAAATCTGAGGGATGTCATCAGTTCATGATATGCCGTTTGTCAAGCATCTCTCATCTTGTCAAGAGTACTAGACGACACTAGTATTGGTCTGGCGTCGCAGCCGTTCTCGCATCCGCCCACAAGCTCCCCAGCTATAAACGTCTCTATTGCGTATATTTTTATGGCTGAATGGAAGCATTGAGCATAGTGGGCGTAATTTCTTGCTTCCTCCAACATCTTATCTTGATTCCCTGGACATTTCTGACCTTCATGATAGGGTAGAGCCCGGTTACTTCCAATTCTCGAGCCAATGGAGGTTGAATTGTTGCGATGTATGCGGCCATCAAGCAGAGTATGGTGGTTTAATCTGACAGTACTTCTGAAAACTTGTAGCCCATAGGACATTCCACCGTGTCCCCAAAGGCCTTGGTTGAGTTTGCCTTTGCTCTAATGAGATTGACCTCAATGATGATCTTGATGAGGTTGGGGGTATGTAGAAGGGAGATGGACAGCCTTTCTGGTTCAGCAGAGATAGGATCTGATGATACGCTTGATGTCTTTCCGCCGTATCTAGGGGCATGGAGGTAACTGGGCACGTTGTTGTCGCCATGATATCAACCAGAAATATGTTGAAAACCAGCGAGCACACTTCTTCATTCTGTACTACTAGAAACTCCGGCCCACTGAATGAATCAATGAGCGCTTTGGCTCCTCTAGGTGAGTTCGCCATTGTCCATACGCCCCTTGCTGTAGCTAAGGAGTCTATTAGATTCACGCTTCTGTATAGTGACGGACTGGTAAAGGGGGTTCACTCTAACCTGAGACCACAATAGCATCATTACACTGCCGAGGATGGTAAGGTATAGAACCTCTCTTCTTTCTGGATCAAGATGATCACTGCTCACTCTTGCTACTTCACTTAATCCTGCGTTGAAGATAATAAACTCTTTGAAGTGGTCGTCACCTACTGTATACTTAATCTGGGCCTACTTAAAACGCGTCTGCAATCATAACAACACTGAATGATCTAATGAAAGATGCTGATAGCAGCATATGCATGTCTCAAGTAAAGCAGGGCCTGAGGCACTCAGAATATCCCACTGGAATTTGTTGGCTAGGTCATCCATCGCCACCAAATCAGGAGCTATACGCTCATTATCTGTGAACTCTTGGTTAGAGGCTCCTGAAGATGCTTCACAGTGAATGCACTGTTGATTAGAATTCCGGACAACGCTTACAGTATATGACCTCTTTAGCTATTACCCAGTCATGGAGATCTAGTCCCGCAGGCCGCAATGCGACAGTAGCTCTGGTTCCAGAATTGCCTGACAGACTAAGCGTGAGCTCAAATCGCAGTTGAAAAGAGGGTATCGGCTGATATCTTTTTCCTTCAGAGTAAGTACTGACTGTTATGTTTCGCACACGGATGATATCGAGACCCGGGATTCAACGGCTTCTTCCAACGGAAGGGTCTCGTTCTGCTGTAGCTGGGACATTGAAAGCCTTTGGCTGAGTATTTGATGCAAGCAGGACTTTCGGAGCCACAGCGGACACGTCTATCACAACAAGCCCAACATTGGGCCCTAAAGTCCTGTTCATTACGGTCGAAAGGTCAATCAGGCGTATGGGACTCTTTCTTAGTACTTCGCATAAGTTTCTCCATATATTTTCAAGTTTTTTCCGTTGATGTGAAAAAGCAGCGGATAACTGCCCAAGTATGTTGAGCAATTAAGGGGATGTTACTGTTTTATATGGTTGCCTTGGTTCCACATGGCTATGGGGATGATCACTCCACAGAGGATTTGTTCCAACCTTATTGAATTGTTTCTCAGTCTCAACTCTCAACTCTCGACTCCTCCCAAAAACACACTATTAGAGTCGAATGGGAGGTACAAACGTCTCCCTTGTCCCGTCGAGTAGTTCTTTGGTATTTCCCAGCTTCGACCGGCTGGGATGCTGGTGCCTCTTCTTTGACATCCTCCGCTCTCGCTTATACAGAACTAGGCCCCTCTTGAGGGGTACAGCATCATAGACAGATTATGTCATGGATCTCCTGGACCTACTGAAAAGGTCCCTGAATCTCAAGGACGCTTTCCTCCTCTCACCACGAAACTTACTGGTAAACAAGTAAGTTGGTGTTTCTTCTCTGGATCCTATTTACTGACTCGCAAGGAATTAGGCATACTAAATATATATAAACGTGGAATGAACATTGATATCTTTATTCATGATAAAAGCATGGACTCGAAATATAGGGAAGGTCCGATGGCTCAGCTGAAGAGGTCGCACCAGAGAAACCAAGATCTTTGTACTAGAACGCAACAAGCTGAGAGACAAAGACCCATCGAATACATTTTCACCAGCATCAAGTGAATTCCGGCAATTGCTTCGCGTCAGCCAGGGCCGGCCACCATGAAGCTCGATCCTTGACAAAGAACTCGGCCTCGGGTTTGGCATCATCAAGAGCCCGAGGATCATCCAGCGTCCCCGCGAGAATAATCACACCACCCTCAACCTCCTGCCGATCGGCTGTCTTGTATAGCGGACAGCCACAAGTCCCGCAAAAGCGGAGGGTCAGGTGCATGCCGCTCTCATGGGTCTCATGGTGTTCTTTTGCAGTCCCTTTGACCACGTGGAATTGATCCTGCGGGACTAGAAGGCCGACTGAGCTTCCACTGCTGATTTTCCGGCAGGTGAGACAGTGGCAGATTGCCTATAGTCATGTTAATATGGACTTGTGCTGCAGCTCCGGGGTCTGGGGGTCCGCATATCTTGGAGACAGGTTCGCCGTTGTATTCGTACTGGATTGCTCGACAGAGACAAGAACCAGATGGCATTATGATGAGTACGAGGAACTTTTCTGTCGCTTTTTGTAAGTGAAATTCGCGGTAGAGATGAAATGAGCAGCATGGTGGTATCCAAGGCTGATTATATAGACTTTTATTGAGACTTAGACCTGGTCACAAGCTTATATTTGCTTCGATGGCCATGTAGCAAAAGAGTTTAATAATCCTAGTTTACCACTCGAGTCCGAGTCCTGGATGGAATTGTAATTCGTAAAGCCACGCTGACCTTCATGATCTACAAGCGGGTGTTTTCCTGCGCCACTTATCCGTTGATGGAACGTATGACAATTCATCCAACTATCAAACTATATTTAACTCCTCCGGTTCCTAGGTAAGCAACATTCTGGTCAAGGTTTCGCAACCCGTGGATAACACATATAGATCAATCCAGATCTGCGGAGTCCTAAATGTCAAATGACATCCCTTCTTTGCCGTCAGATGATGAGGAATTAGGATCATCAATTCCTTCATGTCCTTCACAATCCAGTCTGTAACAGAAAGGAAGGGAACTCAAATAACCAATGGCAGCCAGCGAGTTGCACCTTGCATGAATAAATTGCAGGAGGAGTGGCTGACTAACTATGACCTGCTTCTTCATGAGTCTCAAATGGCCAAGATACAGGAAACAGAAGAGGGAATTGACTTTACTACGGAGTATATATTATATATATATATTTTCAACCTATTAGAGTAGTGTCTACCTAGATCATGTGAGTCTACGTCCACCTTTTCAGTATCAAGAAGCAGCTTTACTACTATCTCATGCGCGTACTTTGCAGCCATGACAGTGGTGTCCAACAACACAGATGCATGAAGTTCACATCCACTTTTCCAGTCTTAAGGAGCAGCTCTACTCTGCCTCATTGCCTTCAATAGAGCCCACGGCAAGGTGGCTCACTATCATTGTGGTATGTCTTCAGAAGACTAAGTTTATAGTCATGTTCCAGCTTCATTGTGAATGTACAGAGCAATTCCTACAAAGAAATTGACGTGATCGACTCTCATCAATGTCAATCATTCAATCTCAATATTATACATGTCTTTACTTTGTATATAACTCTCAAATCAGTCTATCCAAGTACATACGACCATAGGGTGTGGAAAACAGGGCTTCCCGTCCGCTCAGCCGTACTTAAGCCACACGCCGGCCGGTTAGTAGTTGGGTGGGTGACCACCAGCGAATCCCCGCTGTTGTATGTTTTTGCATCTTTTATGCCCTAGGATCTGGCAAGGAGATTGAGTTATTGGAAGCAAAAGGAATGGGGAATGGGGAATGGGGGATGGAGGCTGGGTGGCAGACTTAGCTATTCTCCATACAACAGTGCTTGCAGTTATTGGCCGGGGATGAGCAAATGGAAGCCTCGGGCAGAGACTAAATACATCCACTGTGTCGCAATCATCACCTGCTTTACCCCTGTAATTGTGAACCAGTGAGCAAAGTTTTTGTTGATTGTGGTCACCGCTGGCAGATTAGCTTTAAAGGTTTTCCCGTCACAGGGGGATAGCCATATACCCTGATAGGAACCACTATCTACCAAGGCCTGTTCTGGGAGTGGAAGATGAGAAAACGAAAAAAAAGCTGTCAGTGATAGGATGTGAACCTATGCGGCCGAAGCCAACTGATTTGTAATAACTTTTATGGATTTATGGGTTAGGAGCACTGACTATAATGGTCAAGCCCTAAGATGATATTATTACACTACTATTTCTAAAGATGGCTGGCTTTAGATGGAAGCATCTAATATAGTATAGATATGGAGACAGTATCTCTATATTCCTGAAGCTAAGTACAGATGTGGGCAATGCCAGTAATATATTGCTAGAGTTAATAAGGATGATAGTTATACAGCATCAGAACAATGAACCTTGACTATTGTAGCCAGACATATGGTTCTTATTAGTATGTTAGCTTAGAGCAAGGAACTTTTAAAGGTGATAAAGCCAAAATGTGATAATGCAGATTGTTTTTAATGCTTAGATATGGTTACTGCAGAACAGAGGTTGGATCTACTATTAAATGTCCTCTTGACTCTTGAGTTAGGTCTCGAAGCGTTTTCGGATCATCAACGCTCACAACATTCGCCTTTTCTCCCGTTTCTCAGCCATTCTTTCTTGTACCTACGGCACGTCTAGATTGGAAGATCCATGTTTGTGCGTCCCATAACAAATGGTTCTGATAACGGGCAACAGAAGAGCGGATATGGAGAAGGAAAGGCATCATCTTGGGAAAGGGTGTGAGAGCAGCTGCTCGTTCGCCTGCATTACCTCGTGCTTGAGCATCTCCCTCTTATTTTCATCCCATCTTCCATAGCTCTAGGTAGCATCACCATCAATGATATGATCATTCTCTCTTTCATCTGTTTCCATAATGACATGTCATGTCAGGAAACACACGACATAAGGATAATAGTCTGCATACCCATTTCATGTCTGAAATGGAAATTTCTGAGTACCTTACTTGGGAAGGGGGGACCTTCGCGGTAAGTAGAACAAAAGAACGACCAAGGTAAGGTAGATAGCGACGTTTATTTCAGCAGATTAAGACAAGACGAGAACCTTTCTTGATTTCCTTCATTCGGAAATAACCCCGAACTGAAAACGCACGATTCATCTCCACTGGACCCTTTATTGGTTCATCATTTTATCACCTAACACCGTCCCACAGAGAAGAACCAGGGCCCAAGGCACACTACATACACAACTTTGGCTCTCAACAGAGAAAAGTAACTAACGGTTATGGTACAATCCCCAGGTAACCCTAGCACCGCTCATCGCTCCGAGGAGGGAATGGCAACCCATTACACCCTTCGACCCAACCTTGCCGTGCCATTGATATCTGCTGATAGAATCATTGATCAGGTCAATGATATCGGAATTGCCGACGTAGAATCCGTTGATGGATTTGTCGCCGGTGACACCAAAGGCACACGTGCCATACTGGACAAGCTGGTGCTGTCCACCAAAGTCCTCAACTTCCCAGCGACCACCATTGGCAATGTTCCTGGTAATCTGCTGGCAGTCGCTTACAAGCGGAGAGGCTTCCGAGGTCTAGTTTTCGAAGCTAGAGGCACCACACTCATCGACTCTGTTGTTTGCGGCGTCGATCGCGAAGACGACACTGGGATTTGGGGATTGGCCTGGCATAGCCTGCTCAACGTCGACGGTCTGCTCGACGGTGGCAGTTGGCTCGACGGGAGCAGCCTGCGTAAAGGCGAGGACGGTGGCAAGAATAGCAGCCGTTGGAAGACGCATTGTGATGGGTCGGAGGTTTGCTTCGTGCCAAACAGACTTGGAGGATGAGGAGGAGATGCTTGATGGATATTTCCAAGACCGACTGGAGGGAATTCTAGGCTTTTTATACCCTTTACCCAAGCCATTCGGTGCTATTTACGACTATACTGGATCATACGATACTGCCAGCAGCTCACTAGGGCCTGTCTCGTCCTTGAGACGCAACGTCTGAGGCTATTCTGATTGCAATAATTCCGGCGAAGTATTCTATTCGCCGTGACTAGACCATTCCAGAGACCCTTGGGCTAGTATATGACTAGACCAGGGTATAATAGTCCGGCGAGTCAGACATACTGGTGTTTGATAATGAGAAATCGAGAGAGGAGAAGGACCTCATTCTATGGGTACAGATTCTCCTATATCCACCCTATTTAGTTGTGGATGGAGTACGTTGTACCTTACAGAAGTTGGCATCTTCTCTGTGTGTTCAATGAGTCTGTACTCGCAGGCGTCTGTGCAATCGTAGTAGAGGATTGGCATTATGAAATTAACAGCTAGAGAATATCCATTCATCCCAATGTAGTCTTCCTAGTGGGTTGTGGGAGTCTCAAAATGACCCCACTGCCTGCACTGTATGTAAATATGGAAATACCAACTAAAGCACAAGGATGTACACTCGCGCAGTTTAAGAGCAAATCACACCTTGTCATCAAGCCCAATACTCCTCAGAAGCACTGTGTCTCAGAATCCAATTTACCCAAGCCTCCTATGCCTACCCATCATCAACAGTTGGTCATCCGTTGTGGTGGACTTTGAAGCTACAGTTACATTCAATTAACAAGGGTCTCTGAAGCCAGTACGCCAATCTTAATGAGTATGTGTTCTTCCTGCCACCTTCCACGCTCTACATCATTCTGCGAAATGATCCCTTGAATGTGAGATCTGGTACGAGTACTTGTAGTACATGGAACACCGTTTTTCGTCTATCAGGCCAAGCCCTAGCAGCAAGAAGGCGTCTCAAGCACCAGAGGGAGAGCAGTTCTTTTTTACCCCTAGACCAATACAATGGCTGCTCAAATTGAACATGTCCAAGCAGTTACAGTAAACCCTCGTTACAGCGAGCCCCGATATATAGCGAGAACCTCCATGTAGCGAGAGAACATCCGTGCCAAAATTGATTGTCCACCAAAATAACAAGAAATCTCGCCATGACGAGACTCATTGGTCTCACTCAAGCTGCGATACAAATCTCGTTATCGAGTAGATTTTTTTTATCCAGGTTTATTACTAAATATGCCACCTAAGTTCCTAACTGATCCTATCATCCTTCCTGTTCGCCTATCTAACTACCCCTTGCACCTAGTTTTAGAGTCGCCCAATAGGCAGAAGGTGTTACGGGCTAGGCCGTAGGTAAACCTATGACTAGGTATGTACAATAAGAACTCGCTGAAGAACTAGAATAGGAGGTGCGCGCGGTCTGGATAGAGTGTGTGTGTGTGTATATTTTACGGCCGTGGCTCGTGACTTGCACGTTTTCCACTATCCCTGATCAGGGCAAAGGCCGCCAGGGGGTGAGCCCTGGGTGTCTCTAACTATTGCTAGTTCTATGT